TTTTTTTTCAATTTGCCGACTTCTGCAAGCTCCTTCGGCTCCTCGGTTGGGACGCTTTCAAAGTACTGTCTGGCGGATTGCACACTGCCGGCAATAATTTCCTCTTTCGTCAAGGGCCGGCTATTGGAGTCATCTTTTAAGACGTCCATCGGCTGAGTCTCAAACATCCAGCAGTTCCTACGAACATCTGCTCTGCAACTTGTTCCATCCTCCTGTGTGAGGTCCTCCTCGATGTTTACCGTGCGAATTATCTCTTTCTTCTCGTCACGTATGTGCTCCAGAGGTTGACTCTCAAAGCGCCACTTTTGATGTCTCACGTCACCTTTTATTTCTTGGTTCAGCGGCGCCGTTTTAAGTTTTCCAACCTCGGGGCAGTTCTTCCTCTCTGTTTGAGGGCTGCTTTCAAAGAAGTTTCTTGCCGATCTAACATCACCCCCGACGATTTCATTAACGGTCTGCGTTGTGGCATTTGAATCCTTCAGAGAGTAAGTCGGTCGGGTTTCAAACACTAAGCGCTGTTTGCGTACATCCGCCCCCGCTACCTCCTCGGTTTTTGAGCTTTCCAACTCAGAAAGGGAATTCAAAGTCTTGATCTCAAACAACCATCGGCCCCAGTCCGCTCTGTTCGTGTCTTCCATGGAGAGACTACACACCAGCTTAAAAGACGAAAGAGGTTTGTTCGCATCGAGCGGCTGCGTATCAAAAAGCCAACGTGACGCGATGGAGCTCTCCAGCTCCGTTTCAACTTTGCGCACAGATTTAATCTCCAGCATCTGACCGCATTGCCCCATGATGAAGCATTCAAACCGGGTGTCAAAGGTGCTCGTTACGGTTTTCTCCTCATCATTGATTTCTTCCACGACCGATCTTAAGCTCAGCAGATGGCTCTCATCGATCGTCTCGGTGTGTCCGAGGCCTTGCGTGTACTTTGTGTCAATCATGTAAATGGTGGCGTTCCCGTCCTCTTCCGTAAATACCACCTCTTTGGTGAGCTCCTCTTCGTTGTGCAGCTTATTCAAACTGTCCATCGTTTGGGTCTCAAACAACCACGCCGCAGCTCGGACGTCTCCCTTGTGCAACTCGTTGACCTTGTTCCGATACTCCATCGAGTCGGCCTCGCGCGGCCCCAGTTCATCCATCGGCCTTGTCTCGAACATCCACGCCGTGCGCCTCACGTCCATTCCGAGAATCATCTCTTTCTCTGTGATCTTGTTATTGTCTTCATTCCCGTCCAGAGATTCATCCTTGATGGCATCGAGTGGCTTATTTTCAAACATCCACCGCCTGGCCTGCACATCTCCCGGTAGAATCTCTTCCCATTCGTATTCCTCGTCCGCTTCGTCCTTGTACACGTACGCCTGACTGACATGCTGGTTGTTTACCGTCCCGTTGTATTCATTGTAGAACTCCTCTTCAATATTTTTCCTCACGCCGGGATGTATGTGCTTGTACAGACGTTTCAGCTCAGACATGCTCCTCTGTTTGATGTAAGCCTCTTTGCTGAGAAGGTGTTTGGCCGAGTTCACTGATCCTTGCGGATCCTCAGACGAGTATTGAGTGACAGGAATATTTTCAGTCCCCGGCGAAATTTGGAGTAAATCCGGCGGTGGCGGCGGAAGGTAATCAAAGTCGTCAATGGCTGGCGGCGGCGGCGGCGGAAAGTCCTCGTCGTCTATCTCGGCGTCGGGTGTGTCGTCCGCCGCTTTGACTCCTGACTCTTGGTGCACCTCATTAGTCACTGTGTTGGTCTGGGTCACATGGGAGGACCCCTTTGACCGATTGCTGTCACGTCCAGTCTTATTTCGAGAGCAAAAGTGACATTTGTAGATAGGTTACTTGAAAAGTCGCCGACAATTATTCCTTGTCATTAATTATGCCTTCAGTTAAAGCATGAACTGAATGACAAAAATCTTTAAAGTTTTTTTTTTGGAACGTTATCAAATTCGACCGTTATTATTCTGCTGGACGGTCAAGCGAAATCTGTTTGTAAGTAAGTATGAAATGCAACTGATTCTACCTTCATTGGTTTGTGCGGCGCTGCTTCCTCTATGGTTCTTTCAAAGTGAGCCCTCAGTTCTTTGGTTGTGTACCTCGGAAATTCTTCTTCTGTTCATTCGCGTTGAAAGGAGAGTAAAGACACCTTCTATCAGCTTGGGAAGGATGTTGGGTACAACAAACCATAGGACTCAATGCCTTACCTTCATTTTCATGGTTTTTATCGCCGTATTGCAAATTATGGCCACTGTCTGACACCTAGAAACAAATCATAATTAGAAATCACATTTTGCGACATTAGTCAATACAAACTATATCAAGTGTTACACTGATTTCAATGTATAATATCAGCGCATTGTGAGCTTTGTGAAAAACGAACGTTAGCCTCCTCGTACGAAAACAGCAATTTATTCGGACGATTTTTTTTAATGGCAAACGTAAAAGAGAAAAGTATGTTCATTCGATTAGCCCATCTGCATGACATGTTATTAAACTAGCAAACTTTCATTAGACCAAACGAGATAGTCAGGTTGAATATTTTGATGATTAGATTGTTCGTTGCTTTCAGGTCAGTGAATGCATTCATAACACACATCTAATGGAGTATACCAGGCGTAGAATAACTTGTCAACAGAAGGATCAAAAAGTATGTACCATTGTTTCTTGTTTGGATTGCAGCTGCTGACTGCTTGCAACCACCTGTTGCCCGCTGCTTGACTCCGAGTGTGACA